TTTATTTAAACGTCAAAAGTGCACATAGAACTGTTGGGGACTATACATTGTACATTTTCACTTCAAACTTCAATCTATAGTAGAATTTCTTCTCTTATTTGTATTGAATTCTCTTATTTGTATCAATAGAATTATACAAAATTAATACTAAAATGTTAATAAATTATTTCTAGATGAAGATGATGATGATGATGACGATGATGATGATGATGACAATGTAGATTATGAAAATAAAGACAAATACGAATCTGAAAAAAAATCAGTGGCCAGTATGTGTTTCTCAAATGAATCAAATGAAGAGCCCGGAACTTCTTCTGGAATTCGAAATGGTGGAACTGAAAACACTGATGTCGAAGCTAATGAAAACTTACAATTTGCTTGGGAAGCTCTTGAAATGGCTGCCAAAATATTTAGGCGATTGGGTAAACATCAAGATATAAAAAAATTAAAAATTATCCCATAATTATTTACAAAATATTTCAAAATCTATTCAGAATGTAAGAAACTATGTTCCGTTTCATGTAAATTAATTTCCATTTTTATTTTCTGTTTGGCCCCTAGGAAAAGGCTATGAAGAATACTTGGCCGAGGCGCATTACGGTCTTGGAGAAATTTTAATGGAAAATCAAAATTGTTCGGAAGCAATACGTGATTATAGTAAGTTCAATAAAAAAAAACCATTTTAATTTCGAACTTTAAACAATAAATTTGAATGAATATTGTAGACATTGCGTTTGAGATCTTTTGTAAGGCAGAACCTATAAAAGAACGTTCCTTGGCTGAAATCAAGTACAAAACAGGTATTGGAATGTGAATATAACTGAATATTTCAAAAATTTTAAAAAAAATATTAATGGATAAAATATAAACAAAAATTCTAAGGATTATGTAATTATACAAGTGCCGATTTCGAGGCATCAATTGCTGATTTCGAGGGATCGGCAAACTACATGAATCAAGCGATAGAAGCACTTAAGGAGAAGGAACAAACACCCGAAATTCAAAAAACTATTGATGATCTTTCAACAATGCGTGAAGATATCCTCAACAAGATTGCCGAGGTTCAGGAAACAAAGCAACTGGTAAGCGTTGGTTATTCTCTTGATATATGTGCATGAAAATGTATTTAAATACACGTATTTATGTATATATTTTTTTCAGCTAAGAAACAATTTAATGTCGAAAACTGGAGGTTACACAGCACTTTTGACTGAAGACGTCAAGTCAGGTGGTGCAGAAGGGAGTTCAAGCGGACAATCGGAAAAACCAAAAGCAAACGATATCAGTCATTTAATAAAGAGAAAAAAAGATACATCAGATGAAATTGCAAACAATCCAAATGAATCGTCGCCGGCAAAAAAAAAAGCTCCATAAATGTGAAAAAAAATCGAAAAAGTCTCATTATTTTCACTAATTTGATACACATTCTATTATTATTATTAATTATTTAATTCAGTTTGTAACTTTGTCAATTCAAGAAATCAAACATTAGATTAAACGTTTTAAATTAAAATAAATACAATTTCAACTAATTGTTTGACAACGGTTCCTAGGCATAGCTGTCCACGAACACTAACGAACGAACCGTTCGTTCGTTCGTAGAATATTTTTTGGTCTTTTTGTTCGTTCGTTCGTTCGTAGAATTGTATTGCGTTCGTTCGTTCGTTCGTAGAAAATGAAATGTTCGGATTGTTCGTTCGTTGTTCGTACGAACAACGAACAACGAACACGTTCGTTCGTTCGTAATTTATGAAAATTTATTTTCTCAAAATAAACAAATATTGTGATACTAAATGTAAATTGGAAAAACCTTAAATCTTTTTTTCCCGCTTTTCCGATGAGAAATCGTGAAAATAAGCAAAATTGACTCCCGTAAGAAAAAAACAAATTCACTTTTTTTGTGTATTATACCCAGTCTCCGAGAGTTTCATATAAGGTTGCCATGTGACAGCAGAAAGACAGTCGAAAATATTGAAAAAAAAATTTTTTTCGTCTTTTCGACCGTCTTTGTACTGGCAAGCTTATATGAAACTCTCGGAGACTCGGTATAGTGCACAAAAATATCGAAAACATTTTTTTCACTTTTTTCTTGCATTATACCCAGTCTGAGAGAGTTTCATATGCTAGTTATGTAGCAGCACAAAGACGGTCGAAAAAACGAAAAAAAAAATTTTTCAATATTTTCGACTGACTTTCTGCAGTTACATGGCAACCTTATATGAAACTCTCGGAGACTGGGTATAATGCACAAAAAAGTGAGAAAAAAAAATTTCGTAAGAGAGTCAATATTTTGCTTATTTTTCACAATTTCCCATCGGAAAAGCGGGAAAAATCGATTTAAGGTTTTTCCAATTTACATTTAGTATCACAATATTTGTTTATTTTGAGAAAATAAATTTTCATAAATTACGAACGAACGAACGTGTTCGTTGTTCGTTGTTCGTACGAACGAACGAACGAACAAAAAGACCAAAAAAAATATTCTACGAACGAACGAACGAACGTTCGTGGACAGCTATGTTCCTAGGGTTCGAATGATCCCTCGAAAATAATTTTCGGAACCCTTGGAATTCTTTCGACACACTAGGGATTTTCCACTTGAAAGTTCTTTAAATTTCCTAGGGTTTTTGGACACAAAAAATGATCTCCAAAGAAAAAAAGAGTCACAGCGGACGGCAGGTCACACAGGTGACGAAACCACATTGGTGTGTTGAAAAGTCGACCTGCTATATATACACGTAATGTCCAAATATTTTCCAAATCCCAACCTAGAAGGTCTTTTGCCCGATAATAATAGAAGAAGTACTCGCAAAAGTTGTTTCACACTTTCACGATGAACCCATTTGTATGACATTCGAAACAATTCTATTTTCTATCAAAACGCTATAAAAATATGTCTCACGTTAATTTTGGCGTAAAAATTATATTTGAAACACTTTTCATACAAAAGTCACGAAAAATTCGATAAACCATGTTTTTATAAAAAAATTACATTCAAAGAGTTTGAAGAAATTTCAATCAAAGATTTTAAATACTGTGTGATGAGATATTCAATGGACAAATTTTGCATACGTCGGACGACGTACGACGTGAAACAGACCCACAACAACCATGCTCATGGCCTGATTCAGGTTCTCGAGAACGTCCAGAAAACATATTTTTGAGGTGTGGTAAATTTCGACCCATTGCAATACTTTCCCCTTACA